CATGCGTTGTACTTCAGCGGCGGAAGGTGGCGCTGTACACTTCTCGCTAATGTGATTTTGTGACGTTATGGTGTCATGAGTGCCTTTAACATGATGGAGTTTAATCAAATCAATGGGATTACTATACATTCAATTGAATGAATGAAATTCAAGAGAGTTGAGTGAATCAGTTGAAAGTACTAGGAAATTAGTGGAATTGGATCAGGTGATATTTTTCCATGCGAATAAAACTGGAAAATAAATTAAAGAAAAATCATACTCAGTGAAATGTCCGGATTGGCCGTTCCCCCTCTGGTTATATTTTCCGGTGGCATTCTTCGTCACGTGATTTCCAACCTTTCTTTGTTATTTCCAGGCGTATAATCATCATCGTGGAAAAGAAGGGGTTATGCAATGGGTATTTTCACGTTGGGGAAAAGAACACGAGACAGCGTATACGATTGTCTCTTAGTTCCTTATGAATCTATCATGGAATCGTCTAACCCCTGCACTTCCTCCTTTCTGGCTACTACACTTTTACTTGTTGTCTACGTGTCACAGAGTATTGATCCTGGATTTATATGACAATCTTCGGACCAATGCTTGTTTCATAAATATGAATTACCTATCGAATATAGAAGATGTATTTGAAGTACATTTGAGATTAAGGGGAGATTCACCCCGGGAAAAAAACTTTTTCGATTTTGGAGACAAAAAATTTTAATTAGTATTTTCCGAGTGATTTTTTCTCAGGAATCCGATTTTGTCGGTCAAATTTGTCTCCGACCGCTAAAAATTAGAGACTAAAATTTTTTTGAATTGAAAAATCAATTTTTTAAAAATCCCCAATATATCGTCAAGGTAGGCGCACCCGAACGACTATGAGTACGCGAACGCATACTTCTAATTATGACTTATTTCCAAATTTTTATACAGTTTTCCTCTCTTTTTTTACTCTCAATTAAATTATGGTAGCAACAGAAAACTATAATCTGTTCGATACGTTAGAAGATTCATTCAACGTGGTATACGAGCACAAAAAGCTGCACCATTCGGGTTTAGGGCGTCTGGTCACTCACTGATTCAAGAGCTATTTGACCTTTCGGGTACTGACGCTCCGACCGACTCGTCAATTTTCTTTTACTATTATTCACAGGTGCATGAATTTTATATCAAATTGATGTTTTTCTACGCGAATAATTTTGAGGTTTACAAAGAATTATTTTTTTGCGATTCTGCACCTGAATAACGAGAAAAACGCATTTCATTACTAGAAAATTTTTACACGTTCGGGTACTGGTGCCTCCATGGCATATTAACGTGAATTTTTAATTTTACAAAATGCGTAGTACGTAATAAATTATATATTGTCGTAAAAAAAGTTGAACTGAAATAAAAAAAATGTAAGAAATATCGGTAAGACTTCAAAGAGAAATCTTTCATTACAAAGAAACATTTTTGCGATATGAAAGGCATCATCATCATTTTTTGTTTTGAATCAGTTGCAATTTTTCCCGGTAATCCACGAGAAATGTCTTCAGAGTAGGCGGTCGCGCCACGAGGAGCTGCGTAATCGTCTGCCTCGTAAAGAAAAGCTTAAATATATGAACGGGTGAAAATAACTGGTGGGATAAGAGGTAGCGAAGTATTGAAGAAATATGGCGATAGCCTACTGGGTGGCAGATTGCCGCCTATAGGTAATTAGTGGCTGTAAAAACCAGAGAACTGGAAACCGGAGGTAAGAATTCTTCGGTCATCGATTTCAATTTTAATAACTGTAAAAAGAATTGATGAACTCTGTTTATTATAATTACTGGAAGTTTCTCGGTAATTATTATCGTTGATTATAATAAATTTAATGATAATTGTGGACGTATTTTTATGGATAAATAAATCTGGTATTTTTATTCGTTTAAATACACTTCGAAGGTGTGATTTTTAGTCTCTTGAGCATGAAAAAAATATTGGGATTCAGTCTTCGATTTCTGCGGTTTCTTTTTCAATTAAAGACTTGCGATATTGTTGCAAATAATCAGTGGATAGTTGTTCCGAACACCAACTTGTGATTTCTCTCGTGATAATGATCACTGAAGTAACGACAGAAATAAACTTTCCTCTGAATGATCAATATTTTTTGTCGAGCGATCATTAACACAGAGTTTTAGACACCCAATTGTTCATTGAAGATGGCTGTGCGTGCCAATTACTACTTCAAAAAGTTTGATTTACGTTTGGATCGTAAAAGTAGTACTGGTCGAGTTAATCGCACATTCGACCTCGGCGTCGCTATTCCTTGTATTACGGCATTTCAAACAAAACAGGGAATTTTAAATGGTCTGTGGAGGGGAGGTGGGGTGAGGTATTTTCTTTTGTATGAGTATTATCACTTGGACAAGAGGCGTTGGGTGAGGGAGTGAAAAGAAAAATTGTCGGGCCATTTTTTTCTCCATTCGAAAAATAAAAAACTGGAAATCGCATAGGGGAAGTGGTGTCTGTTTGAATAAGATTCAAGACGACAATATTCATCTTCAGTCTTACTTTGAGACCATCGTAAGACGGGTATTTTTGCATATTTTTGGAATGGATTCAAGCAAATCGCCGAACTGAACTCAAGACCAAATTTTTCGACTCGGGTTTTTCGTCATGTCATACGCAGCATTCAGAAAGCTCTCATTTTTGCAACTTTCCCTTAACGAATTTATTTATTCTCTCGACTCCAAAGTCGGAAATGTCTCTTTTCTTTTATTTCGAGGAAGCAATTATCGGGAAGAATTCACCCGTATTTTTTGTTCCACTGCGTGAAAACAAGATTTCGGGCGATACTCACGTGATCGATGAGTTCGATCACTTTTTCGGGAAACGGGGGCTCACGTACCTGATGTATAATTTTTTTTCTGACCAATCGACATCGATGGAGAAAACGAAAGCGCCGAACGAAAGTTGTTTCTTCATTTCTTTGGATATTCCATTGACAGTAATGAGTAATTTCTGTAGCATTTTTTTCTCCATAAACATGTAAAATGTTGGAAGCTTTGTAATCGTTCAAATTAAACGAACGATAAGTATTGGATTTCATTTCCTGTAGCATTACGCTTAGGGAAGAAATGTGACCGTGTGAACTTTGATCGAGATGTTGCATGGGTTAGACACTCAAGATATTGAAAAAAAACCACAAGCCATTTACTTTAGACTATGGAGAATCTATCGCCGGCGAGAACAAGTAGGGGACCGGGCCATATAGTCGTGATATCTTCGATTGATTTTCGAATTCCTCTGAAAAAAATTTGACCGCCATTACGAGTCGAGCAACGCGACAACACCGCACAACAGCTGATCGAGGTCGGTAAAGTCGGTGACGATAATTCAGTGCTGGAAGCATATGGACACGTATAACACACACAAACATTCATCTCACTGTTACAACCCCACTACTAGCCGAAGCGTGCGATGTTGCCCGATCAAAATTCGACTGTTACCACTGCAGTCACACGTCCTCCATTATTTATGAACATTTTCTTTAATTATTCTTTTTGAGACCGGAAAAGTACGCCATAACACTTCCAATTTGATGAGAAAAATAATTTGTAGCATGAATGATTTATTTAGTCAATTTAATTTTTCTTTTCAACTGAGTTGTCCACTTGATACGTTAAACATCCTTAAAGTCTCGAGGATCTATTTCAATAACTTCTTCGTGAAAATAAAATTTATGAAATATCCGTATTTGAAAATCTTGGAGGGAATATAATAATCGTTATCGAGAGATTCATTACCTCTCCTCACTATAAATTTTTACGATTTTTTTCCACTCACATAAACAACATCGATAAGTGGAAAATCTTCAATTCTGTGCGTAATGGATTGCCGTTGATTACACGTTTGGTGTCTCGCCAGAGAGTGAGAAATAAAAATAAATCGAGCATAATTCTCCGTGCGTGCGATTTATCTTGAATCTGAATGTCTACCGTTACTCAATGAAATGAGAGAAAGGTCTTTAATCAACTGTTTTAATTAACCGATTAACAAAGAAAATTTTTGTGCAGGTCGGGCTCAAGAAAGGAATCATCAAATCATTCATAAAGAGTCATCAATTTTTTTTTATAAGAAAACAATTTATTTATTCAATAGGATCTTCAATTATCAATAAACACATTTTTTGGTTTTACCGATTTACCACAAAATCATTATTTCCATACGCTCAATCACGCATTCAATTTTAATCCTTAAATACCCAAAAATAATCATTCACTTCATAATTACACCGATACTTAGAATTAATTCCTACCTATTAAAAGTATATCAACATTTTTCAAATTTAATTGTATTTTACAATTCTCGTCGATGCTAAATCAGTTTTTCTTGATCGAATTTTTTCCATTAACATTAACTTAAAATATTAGTTGTCCAATCACACTAACTATTTTTACAAAAAAGAATAAACGACGGTTTGGGAATACCCGGCACTTCCGGCATCTCTCGATGAAAAATATTTTCGATTAAAATATCTCCCGGAAAACATTAATCACGAGAGAATGAAATTTTTTAATTTATCTACGGAGAAAAAAGTTGGTGAAAAATTACCAAACAAGTCAAGTAATCACGGAGCAGAGGTTAATAGTGAATTTTACTCCGTTGGCCCGGGAAAATTTACTAAACGTGAGCGTGACTCGACCAGGAAATCCTTTGTTTTTCATATACATATCAACATGACAAATTACCAGTTGAATTATCAAAAATTATCAGTTGAATACCGTGTTGACGATATAAAATAACAGCCGAATAGTGCAATTTTATTGGCTGAAATTGGGATGGAGAAAATTCTGGTCTGAATTGTTGCTGTTTTCAAGTTCCATTGAAATTTCAGGAAATCTGGTCATTGAAAAATCAAGTATTTCATTGATTTTCTGTTCAAATGATCTGGAAATCAATAAAATACTTGATTTTGCAGTTCAATTATTCTGTGAAAATTCAGAAAAATCAGGGAAATTCCGGGAAAATTGAAAATTTATGTTATATTGTTTCTGAATATTCATGTTCCTCAGAAACTTCAATCAAATTGTGAAATTTCCATCTTTTCCCCAAATCCGATTCAAAATCACCCTCATGAGATTCACTAAAACATCTCCCATGAAATTAAAAAAAAACAGTGTAAAGTAAAATTAGTCACGATTTTCGAGGTATTTTTTATCCAACTTTCCTCTCCGTGTCGAAGTCACTGTATCCGTCCCGTCGATACCAGCCTTAAGTTCTATATATCTTTGGTCCTCTAGCCGCTATGAAATCCTTTTACAATGCCCAAGCGCTCAAAGGAATATTAAGTACTCAATTTTTTACACAATTTGAAAAAAAATAATTTTTCTCATTTTCCCCCCAAAAAGACTAATTAAAAGCACAAATCAGAAACGGGCGGCTTTGGTTTCAATGGACTATGACACGTGTGTGAATGAAAATAACTGTAAACAGAAAAATGAAGAGAAAGAATAATCGATCGTCTATAAATAGTACGAGTTACGCTAAAATATTGAAATAAATACGTTTCAGGTATATGCAGTGACCAAAGAGAACCCGGAATATTTTCAAAGGCACTCTATTGAATTCATTCACTCGTACGTAGCTCCACCTAATCGTAATTTCACTCCCCGAATTAATTACTATGTACAAATTATCATTAACATTTTTGGACGGTTCGATATTTGTGAAATAATTTTCATCGTCTGTCGACAAAAATAAAAATGGGAGATTAAAATTTCGTTTAAAAAAATAATTTCTACACGAAGAAATTCATTGGTCCAGCCGATAGAACATTTCATTTTATTTAAAAAAACCGAATAAATTGTTTTTGGTCTCAGCTGCTCCCCGGTATTGGTATCATGTGGTAGGACGGTGAGATTGGCGATCGCGAGTGTTGATTAGAATTTGGTACTTGGAGTGAACGATAATCGAGTGCTGGTGCTGCTGGATGCTGTCCCTCTCTGTGTCTTCGCAGGTCAACTTTGCGCTGGAATGCTTTGTCGCACAGGCCACACTGGAAGGGCTTGTAGCCAGTGTGTTTTCGCATGTGAGTTATGAGGTTGCTACTTTGAGAGAATGCTTTGCCACAGACTACACATTTGTGGGGTTTTTCCCCTGTAACAGAAAGAAAATCAAAATTGAGGGATTGGGCGGTTTGTTGTTATGAAGAAATTATTGAAATACACTGTCGGAAGAAAAAAAGAAATTTCATGGACAGTTGAGTATACTAATTTGTAGTGACACTGAATGCGATTTGGTGGAAAAAATAAGGAAATTATAGGTTTCACTGAAAAATCAGTAAAATTCCAGAATTTTAAACAGCATAAAGACGATAATTCCTCAATTTATTTGATTTTTGAATGTGATATAAATATTTAGTGCCAAATTACATTCAATTTTCAGTGAAATCTGAATATTTCCTGATTTTTCCCCCTGAATTTCATGCAATGGCACTCTCTTGAAAATTCAAGAATCTATTTACAAATGTTCAAAATTGAGGGATTGGGCGTTTTGTTGTTATGAAGAAATTATTGAAATACACTGTTTAAAAAAATAAAATTTCATGGACAGTTGACTACTAATTTTTAGGATAGTGACACTGAATGCGATTTGGTAGAAAAAATTAGGAAATTTTAGGTTTCACTGAAAAATCAGTAAAATTCCAGAATTTTAAACAGCATAAAGACGATAATTCCTCAATTTATTTGATTTTTGAATGTGATATAAATATTTAGTGCCAAATTACATTCAATTTTCAGTGAAATCTGAATATTTCCTGATTTTTTTCCCCCTGAATCGCATTCAATGGCACTCTCTTGAAAATTCAAGAATCTATTTACAAATGTTCAAAATTGAGGGATTGGGCGTTTTGTTGTTATGAAGAAATTATTGAAATACACTGTTTAAAAAAATAAAATTTCATGGACAGTTGACTACTAATTTTTAGGATAGTGACACTGAATGCGATTTGGTAGAAAAAATTAGGAAATTTTAGGTTTCACTGAAAAATCAGTAAAATTCCAGAATGTTAAACAGCATAAAGACGATAATTCCTCAATTTATTTGATTTTTGAATGTGATATAAATATTTAGTGCCAAATTACATTCAATTTTCAGTGAAATCTGAATATTTCCTGATTTTTCCCCCTGAATTTCATGCAATGGCACTCTCTTGAAAATTCAAGAATCTATTTACAAATGTTCAAAATTGAGGGATTGGGCGTTTTGTTGTTATGAAGAAATTATTGAAATACACTGTTTAAAAAAATAAAATTTCATGGACAGTTGACTACTAATTTTTAGGATAGTGACACTGAATGCGATTTGGTAGAAAAAATTAGGAAATTTTAGGTTTCACTGAAAAATCAGTAAAATTCCAGAATTTTAAACAGCATAAAGACGATAATTCCTCAATTTATTTGATTTTTTAATGTGATATAAATATTTAGTGCCAAATTACATTCAATTTTCAGTGAAATCTGAATATTTCCTGATTGTTCTCCCTGAATCGCATTCAATGTCACTCTCCTGAAAATTCACGAATATATTTACCGGAATTCTCTGGTTTTGTATTCATTTTCAGGGAAAAATGCAACTGAAATTGACAGTTCTCTTAGATTTTTCCACGAAATTATGAATTTTCAATGGCGAAATTCCTTGAAATTTCAGTGGTAATTAAATTCGATAAAAATTTCCAAAAATTGTACCAGACAAAAATTTCAGACAAAAATGTTTAACAGTGTAAATCGTTTAGACTTAAAAAAACTCATTTCGTGGGAATTTAACAATTTTATTATTTCGTTTCGAGGGATTATGACGTCATAACTCCCTATACTTCGTAGTGGACTCCCCCGAGGCGCTACTTTCGTTCCGGTGGTGAGAAAAAAGTGAGCTCGATCATCGGCGGCGATCAATGATTCTTCTACCCATTTATTAATGACAATGTTTCAAATAATGTTCTGAATAAAATGTTCTCAGTCCTTTTTTATTACCAAATAATCATATAATTTGGATAGATTGACCTTGAATTTCGACATTTCACCATCAATTATCCAACAAAAAAATGAAAAACAAATGAATTATCCCTATTGTCATCAACTTTGAAGAGAATTATCATACTTGAAAAACAAACCAAATGGATGAATTTCCAGAATAAAGCGCAATTGCGTCGTCAGACACCAAGGTTAATCACACACAGCTGAATACACCGATGAATTGTGCGAACCATCGGAATGATGAGAGCATGATGAATGAATTTTATTGATCACCAAAACCAACACCACATGATCATCGATTCTCGAGAAATTCTTTATGTCTCAGACGCATCAATTCTCAATATATATCCCCTCCCTCACCCAGAACGAAAACAGAATAATAGCTCTGTTTCTGGTTCTGGAAAAAAAATAATCCACAGATTTGTTTTTATCGTTCTCCAATCTAATGTATTCAAGTGGCGGATCAAGTGGCAGCTGTAGATTTCGGGTTTTTCATAACGCCTGTGAGATTTAAAAAATGTGTGCCACTGAAAAACAGACGTTCAGCCGAGATTCGTTCGACTTAACGGCTCGGATTAATAAAAATATAGCGAATAAACGTCACGGGGACGATTGAAATTCCGTTCGCTGACATTTTTTTGTCATTCATTTCACCGAAATTATTCTCAGACGAAATTCTCGGTAATAATGAATCTCAATCATCCTCATATTTATGTAAATTGTCAATATTCCTTATTCATAAATGAATCACTCTGATATTAAATGAAAACTGAAATTAATCATGAGCATGAGGATTGAATCACGATTGAACGAAAATATTGTCTCAGGTTTCATTTCCCCGAGTGCCCAAAAAAATCATTTCCCTTGAGACGAAATCACTTCTATTGAAATAACCGATGACAATCAATCATCAATATTTTTCCACCCATCGATTTCCAAATTAAAAACAAATTATTATTCCAAATTATTCAACAAAACATTATGCCACAACTATTTCCAATTCCACGAAAATAATAACAAAATATTTGTCATACTGTAACAGTGTCATTAACGATTTTTAATTGGTTTACACACGCTCAATATTAATTGCGTAAATAACGCTCATGTGTATTGAATCGACATAGACTTATTCTCTCTGTCCCTCGTTCATTTTTTTTCACTTCTAATGTGTGTGTTTTTCCAGTCACTCGCTCAAAGTCATTCCACCCTCCCGGGAGGATCGGGGGTAAGGAAAATACAATTAGCGTAATTGCACGAGCGCCCTGATTACAAAATACTTCACTCGGTGCAACGTAAAGTTGCTTTTTCAATTGTTGGATGTCAAGTGTTTGAGGGAAAATCGGAAATAATTATTTTGGATTTTTTTTTTCATGAAAAAATACTTCATTTTTTAAAAATATTCTTTTCTCTTTTTTTTACTGAAAAAAATTGAGTTCTTTACGATGCAAGAATGAAAATAAACACAGTTATTATCTGGAGTTCATTGTTTTTTTGTCATTTGCACGACTAGGGCCCTAGTGAGACCCTAGTCAAAGCCTAGTCAGACCCTAGTCATAGCCTAGCGCTAGCTTAGGGCCTGACTAGGGCCCTAGTCCTGCAGATGACAAAAAACAATGAACTCTCAGATAATAACTGTGGCTCTAGTCAGACCCTAGTCAAAGCCTAGCGCTAGCCTAGAGAAGATCACAAGGGAAACGGACCGCCTTCAATCGCGAATATCTCCTCACCAAATGATCCAATTTAGATGAATCAAAATTAATTTTAAAGCCTGAAAAATTACAATGAGCGTTATTGCACGACCACTCAGATTACAAAATATTTCACTCGATGCGACGTAAAGGTGCTTTTTCAATTACTGAATCAAGAGTTTGTGAACAAATAGGAAATAATTATTTCTGAATTTTTCTTCATGAAAAAATATTGTATTTCAGTACTCTTTTCTCTTTTTTTATTGAAGAAAATTGATTTCTTTACGACGAAAGAATGAAAATAAACACAGTTATTATTTCAAGTTCATTAATTTCCCGTCATCTGCATAATTGAGTAGAGCAAATGGTATCGTATAGTTCTCCAGTTGAGCATAAACCTACAAATATCAAAAGCCATATATTTTCTCATTCCCACCGACCAATCATTAAAACTCATTCCGGGTAGACTTGTAACTGGGCGTTTCGCTTGGTAAATATTTAAGACGTGCCGTTAAAGGTAGAGAGACCCCCAGTAATGAGGCAGAATGGAGGCAGAGCAGAAGCATAAAATCAATAAAACATCATTTTCAAAGTTCTATCACACGTTGTTAATCATAACGATGATAAAACATTGGTCATGTTGACCTTCTCCTGTGGTGTGCTAAGATAGTGAATTTTTTTATGGACGATAGATTGGGGCGACTTTGAACCCTCAACAATTTCACAGTGATAAATGGAATATAATTAAAGAAATTCAATTTGAGTCTGACCTAGTCGTGGAAATTATATTTTTGACGTTACATTTCATATTATGTTAATCATCTAGTGGTGAAATTCCAGAATTTTTGACTGGCGGAAGGCCCCTAGCCAGAGCCTAGTCAAAGCCTAGCGCTGGCCTAGAGAACATCATAGATGAATCCGGGGTAAAAGGGACGATCTTCAGTCGTGAATATCTCCTCATCAAATGATCCGATTTAGATGAATCAAAATTCATTTTAAAGCTTGAAAAAACACTTCAAAGATGAGAAAATATTGGAAGAATCGACTCTGCCGTTGTGGAGATATTGACGATATTGCGAAAGCCATAAAAGGTTTGGTTTTCTGACAACTGACGACCGGTATAAAATATTCCCCCCAATCAAAGAAGTATATAAAAACATCCGCAGGAACTCTATCACTGGAGTTAAAATAAAAATGATGAAGATATCGAGCGAATTGGACGGTATTTAGTCGGAGTTAATGAATTACGTATTTTTTATTTGAAATACTCGAGTCTGGATACGCCATCGGCTTGATCTTTGAATGCTCAACCCCTCCCCGCCGCATCCGAAACCGAAATCCCTCGCAGGTATTCATTCTCAACAACACCGAGGGTTGAAACTTCAAATTTAACCGGAAGTAATTCACCCCCGAGTTCATTTGAAACCTAGAGTTCCATCATTCGTTGAAATCCATAATTTTCCCATTGTCATACGGAATGTCCAGCCTGTGTCTTCTATAATCTAAAAGAGGGTGGAGGGTGGTATGCCAACTTGAGCACAGAGTATAGAAGACCAGAGAAGGGGTGTACGGTTGGTGATAGGGTCGACAGCAACAACTTCATACTCTGCGTGACACCGCACGAACTCTAACATATACTCTAACATGGAAAAAGAAGAAACTTTTATTTTTATTTTTTTTCCCCCTGATGGACACAAAGGGTTAGACTGCCTCTCTTTTCCTGGCCCCGGGGGGGGAACAATTTTCAAAGCTCTATATGCAATACCGTGCGTTTTCTATTACTCTCGTATTATTCGTATATTTCAGATATCTGATAGTTCTAGTGTTTCATCCCGCCCCAACATGCTATCGGAATTATGCATCAGTGAGACGGTTTTTTTTTCAAAAGCTATCATTCGAGTTTCGATGCTCGATTATTCAATATCAGAGACAAAGGGTTTGCAAATCCCATGACATTTCCTCTGGTGTCGTACGTATCAATATTTTATGAGTGAACAATTTCGGGTTTTGGGACGTTAAAAGTTCATCGAAAATGTCTTTCTTCCTTCGGGCTGATGGATATATCAGATTATTCTTTTTTTTGTCGTTATTTTACATCGCTTCGACCCGGTTAGGGTGTACTGGGATGATGATCAAGACTTTAAATGGTTAGATCGCACCATTCTACCCGGCCGAGATTTGAACTCGGAACCTTTCGCATGTGAATCAGATAATTCAATCAATCGGATTCCAATAGTAGGTAATTCCATAGAATTTAGACGGGGGATTGAAAAAAATGATCGTCTGAGGGTGCTCTCACAGTTGTACTGTTTAGAATGGTCTATGGGATGTGTACAAATGACCGGAAGGAAGGTGCGATGGGAAATGGGCTGTTTGTTGGGCGTTAAGTGAGTTTCCTGTACCCGGCGCCCGTTCGACACGTGCCCGACGGCCGCAACTAAGCGATGCTTGGGGTGCATGTTTCAGGCTAATTAAGTAAAAGAAAAGGGGAGAGACCAGCACGCGTACAACTACTGTTCTAATTCTAAAAACCGACACTGAGTTGTCATCTGACGATGATGATTCAATTTTTACAAAAATTGTGATTGCAGTTTTGAAAAATTTTCCTTCATTTTTGTGATTGGACACTGATAGAAAGGATTAGTTATTGTTAACGAATGGATTTTGGTGGAAACGAGGGCCTATTTGGTATCACCAAATGCTCACTCGTTAATAGTCAACAAATGCACATTTGAGGAGCCTTATCTGATTCGATTTTCACTTTTCATGTGAACCATTCAAGTGAACTATTAACGAATATTCATTTGGTCATATTCAACTCTACCATTTGTTAATAGTTAACGAATGTACGAAGAGTTTTTGGAATGACTAGCGAAGGAAAATCATGTAATGGAAAATTGACTTGAATTAAACGGAAAAATCGAGTCAATTTTGGGTGCAAAAACGCTTAACACTTCACACTTCACTTTCATCACGAATCCCCTTCGCAGAAAAGGCGATAAATTCTGTCTAAACATCACCATTTTTTCCAAAGAGAATGAAGAACGCGGGGAGTGAAATCCCCCCTCGTTACCGCCCCCAAAAAGTCGTATAGATGTAACACAGCATTAACTATTCTCCTCGGCGAGGGAAAAAAGTTGGTTGCCGAAGGAATAAAATAGGAGTTAGAAGACAGACAAAGTAACGCCCCTTGATGTCCATGAATTATTTCACACCGAGCTGACTCGCTGACATGTTTGATCGTAGGATTTCTACAGCACTATAATTTTTTTGGCGCCATTGATTTCTTCAAATCGGGTATTCGCTGTAGGAACAGGAAATCTTGGTTCTTACTTAGAAACTTATTATTTCCGTCTAGTATTCGGTAGAATCAAAATCGTGTATTCTTTGATTTTTTACGCCAAAAGCTATCGTAGGATCAAAATGCAAATACCGGATTTTATTCCTCTACCGTCCCTATGGTGTCTTATATCAAGACTCAGCTGTACACTGAGAAAAAAATAAAAAACAAACACGTTGTCAAACAAGTTTTGTTTGGGTCAACACAATCGCTAGTTGGAAATTGCCAAAAAAGAATTTGTTTGGTTCGAATTTGAAAGTCTCAAACATGAATAATTGTTCTGCTTTCGACAGCAATGAAATATTTGACTCAAGAGGCGGATAATTCACACCAGACGGTGCCTCTTCAGGATGAAAATATCTCATAAAGAGGAAAATTTATCAACAAATATTTTATCCCGAAGTTACAAGATTGCTATCATATCATTATTATTGTTTTATTTAGGGGTTCATTTCTTGTCTGTGATTATTGGACAGCCGAAACGAAAAACTACTGTCCCTTGTTTCGCATAAAACAAAGATTTTTCGGGAGCAAAATACGTATGGGAGTATCGAATAACGAAGGAGTAGTGCTAGAAATGACATTTCTTGCGCGTAAAGAGAATACAATTTTTTTTGAACTACTGAATCTATTTTTGCGACAAAAATTTTTCATCCCGGCGCACTCTCTGCATGTTTGGAACAAAAAATCCTTTTTTGATAATGTTCAAAAAGCGATTTTCTTGGCACAAGTAAGACTTGTTTGAGAACTCTGTCGTTTTCCTCTCGTCAGTGTATCGTTACGAAATTACGCATGACCAACGGTAGAGTTTCAACGGAAATAGTTTAAACGATGACGACTTACCGGTATGGATGTACGTATGCTTCTTCATATCAGACTTCTGATGGAACCTCTTCCCACAGTACTGACAGGGATAGGGCCTCGTATCTGAATGAATTAGCAGATGAGTGCTGAGTGTGCTCGATCGCTTAAATGCTTTGCCGCACTGCTTGCACTGTAACAAAAATCATGACGTCGTCATCATTAACAAACAATCCCGTCCATATTTCAACCCGAAATTATCGCGATCATTATTCTAACGACTACTCACGAATTCTGAATAACGACTTATCGTCCAAATTTAGGTATTTAAGGAATTAAAAATGCACGAGATTGAGCGATCACGAAAAAAGTAAATGAAAAAAAAAGAAGCGAGCAGAGGGAAGTCCCCGTTTTTGTGATCAAACGTGCCTTCCTCCCGAAATGGTATGACATAGGGCGCTGAGAATTCTCACGTGATTGAAATCGTGATTGTCACGCAACGGGCGATCAACAGCCGGTTATAAGGTATGAAATCAATGCAAAACCGTTGAATCATACCACCCAACAGATTGATAGACTGAAATATACAATAGCGTGTGGCATTTCTGTTCTATGTCTTTTAGGGGTAGTTGAATATATTGTACAATCCCAAAGTGCTCCTCTAACGATTCACCGATTGTACAACAGTGATAAGATGACACTACAATGACAGAACGATATTCATGTCAAACGAAAAATACATCATCCACAACCTATTTTTTGATATATTTCCACACAACGGGTCTAAAAAATTTATCACTTGCCTTTCAGAATTCTCGAGAACAAGTTGGTGACGTCGAAAATATTTGCTCGGATATGGAAGAGATCGGCAGTTGAGTAAATTCAGCTCTTCCTTTCATAGATCATTCTCGGACAATTGATTGTTACCAAGGAATATCGAGTGCAAGTGATAAAAAATCCCTATACAGGGCATTCATTTGGCACCTGTGTTTACGGAACGTTTTGACTTCCCGCCTTGTCAACCATTCTTCGTCCCACCTCTGTGGCGCAAGAAGCTGACTGGCGCCTCACAACTTTTGTCAAGCGAACAATGAGTCGAAGAAAAAAAAGTACATCCCCACCGGACTCTCTGTTATTTGCGTCTAGACACTTGTCAGGAGCATCACGAAATACAAAAACAGAGTTGCAATGTGTAGATTTCCGGTACGCGTTTCAAATAGATAACTTGAAATCATTGAAACTAACCTCAATAGAGAGAACCGATCCCGTTATGTCGTATCGCCATTTCTCTTTGGATAAGGGCTCATAATTTGTGCTTCAATATTCCAGGTGAAGACAAGTTTGAAGCTCGGACAATTTGATCTAAATGAATTTTGACGTGCGGTCAAGACATTTAAATTATTCAGCTAAAAGTCCATGAAGAAAACCAACTTTGTCCGACATTCGCCGTCACAACTCCGAATTGTTGAGAATTATTTGAAAGCCTCGAGGGGTAAACAGAAACTGGTATTCATGAAGTAGAAAATAGGTGACGAGTCAAAGTAGCAATTACACGACAAACCAAATGGACGGAACGCCACGTGGTTGTATTTATTGATCGTCTTGTAGAAATATGCATATATATTGTGAGGTGTGGAAAAACAGACGCCTCTTCTCTATATGCAGTATCAATAACTAATGCAACATCAAAGTTGTCATTTTTTATTATTGGCCTCAATGTATGCACTGCGATTTATTTAACATCTATTTGTGGATGATGTATGCCAAAGACAAATGAATGCGTAATATGTTTTGCCTAATCATTATTGTCTATTCACGATATCCAAACACATTACGAAATTAATTTTTCCGATTTTCGCTGCAATCGAGAAAATGACAATCGTCACAGTTGATAACACTGTGATAGGCCTACTACTGTAATGTATTAAACTCTCCATTATTTTTTTCTCTGACAGGCGTTGACTCATTTTCTCCACTCACCAGCGCATCAACACCAATGCACTAGTGGTTTAATGTATTGTAGTGTCCTCAGGCACTATAATTTGACGGAGGTAGTGCCATGACAAAAAAAAAATAACGCGAGCAGAGTAGAGTAGAGAGAGGAGACATCGCGTATCGTGATAATACGCCCATTGCGTTTATTGGATCGATGAAAGAGGCGGAGAGTGGAAAAAGCACTGATAGAATCTCATGTGTACTTTCTTCTTTTTTTTACATCGATCGAATCGACGATCTTCAGTTATTTTTGTTTTCCTGTTGGAGTGTCAAAATATTCCTAAATATGGACGCGCTAATTTATATAATTGAAAAATATCTATCAATTGGTGTTTTGCATTGGTGTCATGATTGTAATCATGGAATGTAACCTCAAAACATTGACCTGTCGTAAAAAAAACAGCTTTTACGACTGCTTTGGTTGCTCTGATAATGGAGAAATATTGGAATACTCGAACACGTAAGGAGATTGAACGGTAAAAATAAGGTGTTTACTGGTTTGCCAGTCGTAAAACTCAGTGTGTCGTCGAGTGTTCGCCAAAACAGTAGCTGATACTTCAGAAAAAAAGGTATAGCGCAGAGTGGATAAATATACTCCCCCGGGGGTTTCGAGATTTCTAGGATTGATTTCACGTCAGTTACTCCGAAGGTAGACCAAGGGTGTACATAGAAAAAGTAGCTTATGGTTGAATTCCCGAGTTGGAACTGGAGAGAAAAATTTCACGTGTATTATAACCCTTTACGACATTGCTATTTTTGGAAATAATTATCATTGTGACATTTTTTCGTCACCAATTTTGCGCATTCATTGACATTTGTGCGGAGAAAATGATCAGTTTTTCCGATTCGGTGAATGAAAATTACAGAGTAGAAAAAATGCTTCATATATTATGAAAGGTTGAGTATCCACCTACCTGGAAGGTACGCTCGTTAGAGGAGGGTGGCGTGAGTGGTGAGTGGTGAATCTGTCTTGTGATTATCGGCGTTGTTGTAGATGGTGAATTTTGCGCAGAGGTTTCGCGTGCTTCACGCTCACACACTGAGCCCGGTGACCAGATTTCACTCTTTCGATTTATCGATGATGATACATCACTCGGTTTGGTACTTAAATTGAGGGGGACTTCTTCTTCGGAGAATCGAGCTGCTCCTTCCACTGGAAACAGAAAAAACACCGCGAAATTAGCGCTAAGCAATCGAAAGAACATGAAAAATTGAGAACAGACGAAATTTCAGTTCGTGAACATGTTAGTTCTCGCGAACTAATTGACTTTCTTCATGTTTTCAGCACTCAAAATGTACCTCAGGATGATCCTAAAAGACTTTTCATCACCTCAAAGTTCCATCCTGAAGCTCATTCCTTGTAAGTCATTCTTCAAAATCACTCGCAAATGAGTGAGCAAAAAATCGCTAGAAAAATTGTCTGCGTACTTTTCCAATTCCCTTGACAATAACGATGCTACCGTGGGATTGTTAATTGGTCCGAAGTACACAGGTTGTTGTTTAAATGATAACGCTAACGGGTCACTGATAAAAGCCTTAATATCCCCTTTTAACCCCTCTCTTGTCACCGTTAACCGGTTTTCCTCCGTACTCTATTTTTTTTTCCATCGTCGATTTGTCCGTGCTTTCGTGTCCCCTGAACCAACAATTACCCGACAATTGACTGGCCTACTTATTACCACTCGTTCCACTGTACTACTTCGCAAAAGCCATTCCACAAATTTGCGTTCTTTGTCTGACATTTACCCAAGTATCTTCTCTCCAATTCCCACCACCTAATCATCCCCGATATTTCTTATCGCTGAGCATTAAAAATTAAAAACATCTTGGTCAATCACCTGAAAACTGCGCTCGCTCCGGGGTAGATCTACGGGGTGATGTTGCACGCGCTGGACTAAGTGGCTCCTGATGTATTGGTGAGTGTTCAGCAACTGGTGTTGTTTGTGGTGGAATTCGCGGTGGCATAAGGGAATGTGGTAGAAGAAGACCCACCGCATGATGTGCCCACCATGCTGAACTGTAACCACCGTATAACAAACCAGATCGCATGTCTGACACTGAAACAGATGATGTTCACATTAATTTAGGGAATCCGTTATGAAACGAAAATGTGTCTTACTGTTGGCGTGCCACCCATTTTGACTGCAAATGTCGAAATCTCAATCAGAAAAGGTGTCAGCAGTCGAAAACTGCTGACAGGAACCGTGGAAAACGTCAGAGGATCTCAATTTTGAATCATGAATTCCTCTGATGCATTCGGCTCACGTAGAGCATAATGTGCCGTTTAAAATTACCATGTGAAACTGATGCGGGTGCATGTGCTAGCTTCTGCATTCTAGGATCACTTGAGTAACCGGATACAAAGCTAAAGGCACTGAGACGCTGGTCAGGTGCTAGTCCTGGGATCGACGAACGGTTTGATATGCCACTGCTTGAACTGCTGCTACCACCAGTTGGTCCACCTGGACTCCAAGGCGATGCCACCATCACACATGGACTACTCGGTGGTGACAATGTGGCTGGAGGTGACAGAGCACCAGCCGGAACACTACTGCAGAGTTCTGGTTTCATCAGCCACGTTCTTGGTACTGCTTCTAAAACAATTTCATGACGAAATGATGTTGAGAGGTACACTGACTTCGATTGCTTGAATTGATGGCATTAAATGACTGAGTTGTAATTTTCAATGATATGTGGTTATACATCGGGAGCTAGAATCCAGCGAGGGGTTTGATGAAAGGAGGGTAACGATTAGTTTGTCTCATGTTTCGTAGGACTGGAATATCCAGTGGGGAAATTACATTGTGAATCTACTGTTTCGTACGCCAATACGAGAGGGTGGGTGACTCGACAATTATAGGGACATCTACCTATGTACTATGGAGCACATTGACATTGTCCAAAAAATGTCATTCAGTGAATCATAACATGATTCAATCGTCATTTCTGCAAGATGTCTAGTTTGAGTATTACCCGCTTTTTTGGTCAGACTTTTGAACCCAAAAATCGAGTCATCTAGTCAGGCATGTCTCAGAAGATGAAAAAGAATTATTATCCGCCTTCGATCCGAATCGCGTGCAGGTCAGTATGAAATGGTCAGAAATCAGATAGCATCGCGACACAGATTGTCCTGGGCAGTGATTGCTTACTGGGTCTTCCTATTTCATGACTCGAAAAAATCAATAGCTCTCGTGAAAGAACGGAGTTAATTCTACATTTGTGATTCGCAAATATTATTCACGCTATCGGTACTGAATGAATCTACGTCATCATCTGGGGATATACTTTGGAGCTGGTTAAATCACCCATCCGTCTGATGTCGGAATGTCAATCTTCTATGAAAAATGGTAATGAGGCCGGATATTGGACACGTGTTTTTTTCAGAAATAGCAGAGACGTCTGGTTCTTGTTGTCCACCACTTGTGTCCATACGGAATTGTGATTCCGTGAAGAACGTCACCATTCAAATCTGAATATAGTGAAGATGATTCGGGATCTAGACTATTTGGACGACTCGCTGCATTTTTTAGGTCCTGTATGAACAGGTGTATGACTTCGTCTTATTTTTAACTTTCTCGCTTGTCTTCCCCATTTTTGACGTATGTTTGTTAAACTTCGATTGAAAAATTTGACTTCTTCTCGATCTGAACGGTGATCAAACAATCTTATGAAATCTGACAGATGGAATGGGGACAAATACTCGGAGAAATAAAAAGCTGAGCAAATACCAAGGTGGGCTGACACGAAACATTGTTCCGTCATTTTTCTTTTCATTAGCACCGTTTGGTTTAGCTTGTGATATTGATTTGACTCACGGAAACGTGTGTTTGATTAGCATTTGGCATAATGGAAAAAAACGAATATTCTATTGTATGATAAGACGTCAATCGAGCGATTAAAATGTTGCGAAAATAATTCCAGAGTATTTGATCACCAAACGTGGGGGTTTTAATGGGCATGTGTTCTACGACTTCGTGTGACCGTGAATTATATTATGTAGATAATCTGTGAGATTCTTTCAGTAAACATTAATGTAGTACGTAAAAAATATTTCACCGAAAAATTCCAAATCATTATAGACTAATTTGCATTTGAGTATGCAAATGTGAATATAAGTTTACTTACCGCACATGATATCTCTTCAAGAATCTCTCCCTAGTCCTTCACTCCGCGCATTTGTAAACTCACTTATTCCGAAAAAAATTCTGAACACCGAATGCAAAAAATGAGAAATCACTTCACTCAGAGTTCAAAAAAATTCTTTCAAATCACAAAAAATCACAAAAAAATGCACTCAAAAATATAAATCCTCCCAATTCACAATCGTAATCACGACGGAAAAATCTGAATCTGAAATTTTGATTCGAAAAAAAAGCGATAGAGGAGTACGAGCGTCCCGACGTGTTGCAGGACCCTGACTGACCTCAGTATCTCCGAGTCCTCGTGGCCTTACCCAGGTATATACTCATCCCTAACAAAAAACCCCCCCAGTGCCTCACCTGTGCTGTTGAGTTAGCCCGTTGTAGGAAGCGCGCGCACCACCACCGCTGCGTAAGCTCCGCCCACTCCGGTAGCATCCAGCGGTGGAGAGGGGATGGAGAGAAACCGCGGTGATGTTGAGTGCCGAAAGACAATAGCTGTGAGAGAGTGACCAACGATTAATTGAAAGTGAGTTTACGATTAATTGATTCTGGCGGTAATTTTCGGTTCCAATTCCGTCATCGACGAGCCCAGGTGGACCTGAATATGACGATAAACTCATTCTGATGAATTATCCTTGATTAGTGCAGATGACGATTACCTGATTACCTCGTGATTCTTTTGATGATGACTCATAATTAATCAATTGATCATCAATTTTTTTGAATGTCCATCGGCAAATGTCTTCTTGGCTGTCATTTTCAATCGGAGGATCATTTCAGATGCGCATACGCGACCCTATCATAGCTAGGATTTGTATTGGATGTGGGCGTAAACTCTAATGACGCGCATGCGCGCTATTAGAAGCACGGCATTCGTTGTGCTAGGTGATTGGATCCCCACGATTTTCTCCTATTATAAAAACCGGTCTAGGATGAATACCGAAAACTCTCTCCCACCTTCAATGATTTTACGGGATCAACGGGGTTGCCCTATCCACGCGTGGACAGTATGCATCAGTGACCTTGAAGAAATTGGAGCAATCGCTATTGGATAATGTCGCAGAATGATAGGTTATGGCACTTTAATTTTTTTTAGCTTCACCGCGGGGAATTTGAAATGCTCCACGTGGGAGGCAATATTTTAATTCCCAATGGTTCTGACGTGTGATTGCTATCGCACTGACACGGAAAAGAAACTTTATAACTGATTGGGGGGCAGAGATATGTGGAGTGATAAATATTTGAATTGTGTTGTAATTTTTTTTTTGATGCGATCGAGAACTTTTTTCATTATGACTTGCTTTTTTGTTAGTTAATGGATATCGAATTGGCATTTCTCTGTTCATTTAATCGATTTTTTTTCTGATCGATGCATCAATGTTTCATGATTTTCTGTAAAAATACAGACCAATGGACGTCTATTGTATTTAGCTATTTTTTCTCCAGTGAAATATTTTCTACTTTTGTAGTCGAACATCAGAGCTTTCATTTGAGCCCGATTTAACCATAAGTTTGCGGACATTTTACAATGATTCTATTATTTAAACTTTAATAATTAAATTCTAGCCCTACGAAAGAAACATTGTTTGGAAAAACTGGAAAGAGCATTTGGGAAAAACAAATATGCGGGAAAAGCGGGATGAAGAAATAGGAAACCGTAAAGACCGAAAAGTATACGGTGAAATGAAATAAAAAAATAAAAAGTAAAAAACTAAATTCTTAACATCATCCATCTTCAATGCGCATTATAAAAATCGGCTAATCTCACCAAACAGTAACCGAGTCCCTCTGCAGTGAAGTATAGTAAAACAGTTCAAGCAATTTTTTTTGTAGAAAATGAGATTTCTTTTGAAACCCTATTAAAAACAGTTGCAAATTTCAACTTAGACCGTTTTACCGAGTCGCTACTGAATTATAATACCTCAATGACAAGACGTTGAATGCTTAACAACTGTCTACACAATTCACGCGAGTGACGTTGGTATATTTTTTTCTTCTATTTTTCTAATCACAAACGCAATTTATTTTCCTTCGGCAGCAATAGTCGAACGATTGTAAATGAAATGTGAGGCGCAATAGTGACATGCAGCCGGCACACATTTATTGGTTGG